AGCCCTCACCAGAACCTGAGCATGCTGGCACACTCATCTTGCACTTCCCAGTCTCTAGAACTGTGAGAAAGTAAATTTTCATTATTTAAGAATTCTAGTCTATTATATTTTGTTAGCCAGGCGTGGTGGTGCATGCCTGTAATCCCAGCAGCACTCAGGAAGCTGAGGCAGGAGGATTCTGTGAATTGGAGGCCAGCCTGAGTTACATAGTGAGACCCTGTCTCAAAAATCAAAACAAAAACACAACAACAACAACAACAACACCCAGCATGAGTATGACAGCATGAATAAACTCTAACATCCATTATATGAATATACCACAGTTTATTGAGCCATTATCATCTGGATGATTACCTGAATCCTTTATAGTTTTTAACTAATATAAATAAGGGTCTTGTGAACAAGTCTTTCTGTGGATATATTCTTCAATTTTCTTGAGGAAAATATTAGGAATAAAATTGTTGAGTTTCACGATAGACATATATTTAGTTTTGTAATAAAGTACTAGAATTTCTCCCAAAGTGTTTTAGAGGTCCACCAACCAGTTTATGAGAGTTCTAGTTGTTCTATAGCCTCATCCACACTCCGTGGTTTATGGATTTTGTTTGATGTTTAATACCTGTAACCATGTTGAGAATATATCTATTTATTGAGAGTTTTTTCTTTTTCTTCTTAAAATCTACTTCGTTAGGTTTCTGTTACTGTAACTAAAATACTTGAAATAGTCATCTTAAAAAGAAGGAAAGTTTATTTTAGCTTGTAGTTTTAAAGGTTTCAGTCCATGGTCAGGTGTCACATGGCTTTTGGGCCTGTACTGAGACAGCACATCATGGTGGAGCTCACACAGTGGAACAAAGTGCTTTCCTCATGACAGCTGGGAGGCAAAAGAAAGAAAGAGGTGGGGTCAGAGTTGAAATATCCCCTTCAAGGACACTCCCCTGAGTGGCCAGAAGACCTTAAACAAAGCCTCACTTTTTAATAATGCTAACTCTATTTAGACATGGTATGCTAGTCTCTTATATATTTTTCTTTCTTTCTTTCTTTTTGAGACAGGATCTCCTTGTGTAGTCCAAGATGGCCTTGAGCTCATTCTGTAGCCCAGGCTTGCCTCAACCTTGTAGCAATTCTCCTGCCTCAGCCTTCCAATAGCTGAGATTATAGGTGTGCGCCATCATGCCTGGTGGTTTGCTAGTCTTTAAACATGTAACAAAGTTCTGGTTGCTAATAATCTATTTAGATTATTATTCACTATTTATGAATAAGACATATATTTTCATTTATGGCTTTTTCTTTGTAAATTTTGGTATCAATGTTATACTGGCTTTGAAAATGAATTTGGAATATTTATGATTTCTGTCTGATTTTGTTTTCAGCCCACTGGTTGGTTGATTTTTATTTCCAAAAAAAAAAAAAAAAGTGACTGGTGTGCCTGTGCTGGCTGTTGCTGTTTAAACCCTCTATTTACGGCTATAATATATTGGCACAGTGCAACTAGAGGTTAACCACACAGGCTCCGAAACCCACTGGGGTCAAATCCCAGCTCTGCCACTTGGAAGCAGCACAGGGTAACTGAGGCTCAGAGAGGCAAATGAGTAGATGATAGCACAGTGATCACAAAGGTCCCGAGTCCACTATAAAACAAGGACAGGAACAGAATTTCCCTCCAGGGTAATTAGAAGGTGCAGAGACAGATAAAGATACCTAGCACACAGCCTGGTACCCGGTAAGCATGGGGAGACATTATAGCAAAACCAGTCCCTCAGTCAAATGGAATCAAACGGCTGCAGCTCTTGGCCAAACCACCAATTTGTGTTCTTGCCATGGTGACAGTGCTTTTATCTAGACGTATTTCATTTTACTTTTTAAACATACTGGATCTAAGGTTTCCCTTTGGTCAGCCTACCCAAGTGGAGGTGGGGGGCTCCTGACTATTCCTGTGGAGAGACAGAAAATAAGGTGTTGATGGGAGGTAGGAGCTACTTCGGGAGGGTCCCTTGTCCCTGCAGACGTAGGAGCAGAAGCAGGTGGCCGTCATGAGCTGTGGCTGCCGCAACAAGGGGTCTTATACTGGATGCAGGACTCTGAAGAACTATTGGGAAAAGCTTTACGGAGTGAACAAATCCGAGCAGGAACTTATTTCTACCTCCAACAAACCACTGCATTGCAGAGTCTCAGTTTCTCTGTCTAATCTGTGAAATGGCACAGTGATACCTGCGAGCCATGGTATTGCGGAGAGCATGGGGACCATGGGAACAAAGCGCTGGCTCTTTTCACTTGGAGACTATGAAGCAGGAAGGATTTTCATTCGGATGAACAGTGCTGTCTCTCGACTCCATCCTTTTGCGCAGCCTGCCCCCATCTTCCCACAAAGTGTGGGCCAAGCTAGTGTTGATAGCTCCTATAGCATAGGTTTACATTACTGGGGACTGTGTCTCCAGGCCAGGGACAGATGTCATTATGAGTAGATGCTATTGTGCTTTTGGATGGTTTCTGTTATATTTGGCTTCATTGGTCACTTTCCTCAATGTTGATAAGTTGGATGTGTTGTTGCATTGGGATGTTCCTTTCAACAAAATGACCTTGCTTGGACCCAAATGTGGCTTCCTTACAATCTCCTGAGAGCTTGAAAAACATCAAGTTTCAGTGTCAATCTCTTTGTGCTCAAAGAATATAGTTGAATGCCAGTGCAAGCCATTGTTGGGTGTGCCGCTAACAATGTATGATGCAGAAATTAAAAAAAAAAAGGTTTAGAGTTTGAAGGATAGGCCTGTCTTGAGGTTTGATGGTTAAACTCTCTATTCTAGAGCTACAAGATGTAAAAACAAAAAATTTTGGGAAAATTTCCCTACAATGGCAGATGGAGATTAAAATGCATTTGGGGAAATTTCCAACACACACGAATGTAATGGATTAAATCAAGCCCTCGATGAGCTAACCTGGGGGAACAGAGCTCTGCCCTCACACCTCCAACTGAGGGTGTATACAGAAAACTGATGGCTGCCTCTGGGGCCTTTGGATAATTAGATTACAAGGAGAAGGATGAGGGTTAAACATATGTAGCAGTAGGTTAGTGAGATAAACAGATTCTGGAATAGGAAAGTAGCTGGATTTAGAGTTTCAGGGTTTTAAATGTTCTAGCAGAAGCAAAGGTTTAATCAGTGCTATATGGACACATGATACCCATTCTTCAGTGGTGGTACAGTGAGGCTTGGAAACGCAAAGATTTCTAGAGGTCACTCAAAGAGTCAGATGACAGGTGGACTTGAGATAATACATGCTTGTCTTCTTCCCAGTCTACCAGGAGGGTTCTGGCCCTTTGGGATGAGCCATATCCTGTGGTTCAGGCTGTGCTGGCATGGACACCATTAGGAGTACCAATTGTCATCTGTGTTGCTGATTAGCAATGTGGAAGAGAGAACCCTTTAACTCCTAGCTGAAGGCTCTACCCCATAAACTGCACGGGAGGGAGCTCACTGACCCTGATGCTTGCAGTTAGGTCTCCCAGGTGTATGACTTCTTTTCCCAGTTGTAGAAACAATTAAAAACAGGCAGTGTCACCTGGCAAAAAGAGTGTCCCTGGAGCGGTGCAATGCCCAGTGCTACTTATCAAGTGTGGGATAATAGTGACATGCTTTTTACTGCCTGATGTGACTCCTCCCCTCCATATGTCATTCCCAAATCTTCATAAATTCTACCAGAACTCACCAAATGCTCATTGAGAATGAATTTCCAGCGGATGCCAATCAAGGGACTGAGCTTTGTACCTGGGGAATTGTGGGGCAGGACAGAGATGTCATGTGGGAACACAAGAGCAGAATCAAGGTCATAGTTATGTGAGTCTGGGGTCTCAACATTCCAGCTCTTATTTACATCTCCCAAGCTACATTTGTACCTGGGTTGCATTATCAATACCCTCAATTCACAGTGGAGGATTCTGAGCTCAGTGCTTTCCCCGATCTGGAGCTTTAGGTCCTGACAGCATTATAGACTGCTTCTGAAATCCTTGCCCAGAGAAAGAACTGGATCATTGTTAGGGGCCATGGCAAAAATGAAGGCAGGGAACAAGGTAACCAGGAAGCAGGGATTTGCTATGAGGCCAGGCCACCCAACTCAAGACCCCCTGCAGGTCTTGAGACCTCTTTGTTCTTGGCTGCCCAGAGGCCAGGCCACTCCCTGCAGCGCTCTGGGCTCTGGAGGACAGACAGCTTCTCACCCTAGCACTCTCCTGGCACTAGATGCATGCATTTTAGCATCAACAGCAGAAGCACTGGAGGAAAGGGGGCTCTTTTTCTCTAGAGCATTTATTATTAGGGTCCAGTGGTTCCTGGGGAACAAAGCACTGACTTCCAAATTCTGCTCTGGAAACCAAACCTAATTTAGAGAAGTACAATGTGCTGAAGAAAGATTGCCTCTTAATTTTAGATTCATGGGGAATGCAGGCGAGAAGGCAGAATCCCTTAACATAACACAGGCTTTTTTGGTGGTGTAACAGAATAATAAATCCTTGAGGAATTCCCCAAGCAAGGTAAAGTAGGATAATATACATTTCTTAATATTGCAGAAGTTTCCTTAATCTTATTGTTTAAACTTTTCAATAAACCATAATGTTTATTAGTAGTTTTTCATTTCCAACTGTCAGATAATCCCTTTTGCTAAGTTGGGATAAACAGGGTCCCCCCAGTGCCTCTGGTTTCAGTTTCTTGTGATATATATCTGACCAGACACTTGATGTAATAGAGAAGTATTATGTTTTCCACTGTGTTGAACTTAGAGGTTCAAATGTGTTAATCCAATTGAATTGATTGTAATATTTTATAAAAGTTTCTCCAGCAGAAATATTGTGAGGGATTTGAGTTGTCAGGGGTTATGAGAGTGTACACAGAGGCTTGCTGGAAGCTTTTGGCCAAGTACTGGGATGCAGGTGAGGGACAGTGGTTTGGGGTGTGCCCCATTGTTTAGAGAGGTTGATTCATCAGGAGTTCAGCTTTTTTTTTTTTTCCCCAGAAGTCTGTGGAAGAGACCAGATGTGTTTGAGTTTTGAAAAGTGGACACATGAGGCTGTCTTGGAAGATTCCAGGTAGGGTCTCCTTGCTATGGAGAAGTGGGGAAAGCTACACAGAGCTGGAGATTGTATCAAATTCCTAGCTCCCTTTGAAGGGAAGGGGTGAGAGATGGCAATGTTAATCACGACTGAGAGAGAACTTTCTCTTTAGCGAAGCCCTAGAACTACAGTTCTTTACAAGTATCCCCATGGGGGAAATCCTATCCTAAATGATCAGTGATGAAGAAATTCATCTCCCCCCCCCAATTGATTCCCGCCCTCTTGGAAATGGCAAATAATTTAACATTCTTACAAAATTCCTTCTGCTCGATAGTAAAGGGGGGATATAACTATCACAATAAGGAAAAGGGTAAAATCCTATTCGGCTAATGAGGTATATAACTGAGCCATTAGTTCTGCTTGAAGTCCTTGTCAGCCCCAGATTAAGCTGATGGCCCTTCCTGGTGTTTTCAGATTCCTTTGGTAGCACACTCTACATACCCTGTCACCACCTGCAGCGTGGCTTGGGCATTCTGATCTTTCAGAATTAAGAGAACAAAAAAAACTTTGCCCTGGGATGTTTTCTGCTTTCTGTGCAGGTGCCCAGATGATGGAAAGGATGCTCTGGGTAGAAGCTGGTGGTTTTCTAATGCTGGCTTCCAGCTCCCTGGCCTTCGAATATTTAGTGAGAGGAGTAGTCTGACTATCATTTTCAGAAAAGACTGGATTGAATGGAGCAATCAGCAAAAAAGGGCTCTGAACTCACCTTTTGTAATTTCTTCTTTCCTCTTCTTTAAATGATGCTTGAAGCCGGCCAGGACCCAGGGGTCCTAGAGGCGCAGAGGTGAGCCTGTCTTCTGTTGGGCTGTCCTTGAGCTGTCATTTTTCTGCCTTAGGATTTAGAACTGTGCTCGAGTCTGAGGTTGGATGCTGTGCTGTCTGATGCAGTAGCCACATGCAGTCATTTAAAAAATATAATTAAACAAAACTATAATTTAAAATTCCTCAGTGTGCTGGCCACATTTTTGGTGCTCAACAGTAATGTGGCTACTGTCTATTGAATTAGACAGTGCAAATATGCAACATTTTCCAAGTTCTATTAGGCAATGCCAGCCTAAGGTTCTTGGCCTTCGTATCAAAGCCGGAGGTGGTGTTTGAATATACTCAGGTCACAAAACTGGAAAATATACACCATTCTCTGTTGTGCAAACAGCAAGACATACTTCGTGGCAGGGAACAGAAAGGAGCTACATGTACAATCCTTAGAAGAAAAAGCAGATGATCCTGTACCTTCCTTGAACAAAGATGCTGGCAGCCACAGGCCTGGGTATCTGGGGCCCTATCCTGTGACTTTACCAAGTTATCAGGCTGATGTTATGATTTGGTTCATTCCAGCTGGCCTAAGGTTCAGCAGTAGGACAGGCTGACCTTGTCCTCATGGAATCTAGACTTTGTCAGAAAGGTCAACATTTAGCAAATAATCACATGATTAGTTACTATATTCTTATTCATTTTTAAAACTTTCTCAATTTTATGATACATTGAATATCTTAGGTCTTGCTAATCCTTTCTCCTCTCTAGGTAATTCTTAGAGATAGTAAATGTTTTGTCTAGCAGCACATCTTTTATATGCAAAACAACCAATCCAAATCTGCTATCCCTAACCACCTCCTTTATCCAACTCTCCAATACCAACTCACTGTTTTTTTGGCCCTAAGTTACCCCAGGGTCAGGGACACAAATAGAGACTGTCTGTCTTGGTTATTTTTCTCGTTGCCGAGATAAAATACCCAATACCCAAAGTTAAAGGAGGGAAGGTTTACTGTATTTCAGAATTTGTAGCTGTTTCAGTCTATATTCAACTGGCTCCAAAGCAGGAAGGCATGGCAGAGGGCATTGGAGAGGAGAAACCGTTCATGCCAGGCAGAAAACAGAAGGAAAAAGGCATCGAGCAGCAAGTGACAAGGAACGATAGCATCTTCTTTCTGCCCTTTTTTATTCTATCTAGGCTACTTGGCTTAGGGTAGGTGCCAAACCAGTCAGTGGACTAATTGAGTAATTGCACACCCTTAATCCTAGGATTGCACCATGAAGCGGTCACATGCTTTGGATCCAGCCACCTCTGAAAAACCCCACCTATAAACTCCTGAGGCTTTGGCGAGGTGTGGGGTGAACATCTAAACAGAAGACATAACAGCACCCCTGCTCCCCAGAGCCTGTGGAATTAGTCAAAGTATCCATTCCTAAATTTGCTCCAATATGTCTACCTTGCCTTGCCTGTTGCTTCCTAAGGAAACCACATTAAAGACGCTGGACCGCACTCTCCACAAATTCCTTTCTCTCAGCTGAACCTGGTGCTTTGCCACAGAGCCCTGCGTGGTATGCTGTGTCCTTCTTCTGGGAACTGTAAGTTGCACACTCTTCTTTCAAGGTAATTGTCTCCACATCTTTTATCTTAGCATACTCAATTAAAACAAAAAAAATCCCAGGGACATTTTAAAGCAATTACATTTTAAAACAATTACCAGAGAGAAATGCGGAGTGTTAGAAGACGTACAACTGGGAGGTCTGACCTAAACGGGGAGGGGTGTATAATGAGGATGAGATTCCTAAAGAAGTGGCAACGAGGTTGAGACCTAAAAATTACATGGAGTTTAGTAAAAATTTGAGGTAGAGGACAGAGACCAGTCTTTGCAGAGGGAATGGAATATGCCACGCCCCCGGGCAGGAAAGAGGATGGTGTGTTTCAGGAACTGGAAGGCCTCCCACAGTCTAAGGAAATTTTTTTTTTTTGATACCGGGAATAGAACTCATGACCTCATGCTTGCCAGGCAGGCGCTTATGCCTGCTAAGCTAAAGGACCAGCCCCTGTCTAAGGAATTTTTAGGGTGCTTGCTGGGCAAAGAAAAAAACTGCCTGTGTTGGAACACACTACAAGTAGAGGTTGAACTGATGTCAGGTAGCATCCTCCTTACCTTTTCTCAATCCACAGAAGGTCCACCCTATGTGTGATCTTTGAGGCCTCCCGTTTCTCATCTTCTCCCAGAGCTGGATCCATGAGGTTCCCTAGAGATGGTGTCAGTATAACTTCCAGCTTCCAGAAGAATGTCCAGGGAGGGTGTTGTGGATTTTAATTTCCAAGAATGCCTGTACTGACATATCCAACTGATGTTCTTCTGGCAGTGTGAGAATGACTCTCCCCTTGAACCTGGACAGACCCCTGTGACACCTTTGTGTAAGAGAAGATGGAGCAAAAGGCAGCTTCCCTCCCTGCCTTCCCTCTCCTCTCCGTGGCCCCTGGGAGCCCTGGCTGCCATGTGGGAAGCCTGACTGCCATGAAGCTGACAGACTGGAAGGATCACAAAAAAGAGACTAAGAAGAGACAGAGATGCCTGAGGAGACCTAGTGGGTCCAGTTTATTAGGCCCTGGAGACCATGAAGAGAGACAAGCCATTTCAGCTGTGTCTATTGGAATTTACATGAGGACAGTAAATGAATGTTCATGCCACTGCTTTGGGATAATTTGTTACACAGCCATGGTAACTGAAACAGTGAGTCTGGTGGGGTCCCAGTTTTTTGTCTTGGGTGGCCTAGAGCATCTCTACTTGGCAAGTGTTGGAAGCAGCAGGGCGCATTTTCAAATGCAGTCAGATCCTGTGGTTTCAGGGTTTAGAATTTAGTTTAGCTTCTAATCAGGCTCAGACTACAACTCCCTGGAGCATCTTCCATCATGGAAGGGTTTGTGAAAGCAAATAAGAATGGCCAGCAGAGTGAGGGGGATGCTTTGGTCACCCAAGAACTCAACTGATTTCCAGGAGACCCAGCCAAGTGTACATCACTCTCTACACACAAATGATCAATATGTTTACCACCAATCCTTGTGCGTTCACAGAAGTGGGCCCCTGAGGACCTAGTTATGGAAATTACAGTAAGGTTTGTTAGACTTAGAGCTTGGCTAACGTCAGTCACGTCACCTGTACATAAAAAAAAAAAAAAGAAAAGAAAAATTGATGAGCATTTCCCAATGGTTATTAAAAATTCAACTTTTACTTTTGGAGATTAGACCAGCTCCAGTACTGGCCTGGTGTGGGAATCACTGCTAGTTCTTATTGAGAGCTTTGAATTTACCACACAGGCTCTGTGCAAGGTGCTGCCACCTGGAATATTTGCACTGAATCTTTGAAGAAGAAGGCTCTGTAATAATTCTTGTTTTGCACATGAAGATCATGCACCAGAGAGGACAAGTGACTTGTTCCTTGGGCACCCAGCAGCCTGATTCCAGAAACTGACTGGCTGATCATGTCGACTCAGCTTCTACAAAGAAGCTTTGTTGATCTTCCCAAACCATCTGGTGGAGGGCAGCTGGTGTAGCATCGGAGTTCATGAGTTTCCCAGTTTGGAAGATGCTCTATGTATTTGCATGGGTGGGAGATTGCCTTAAGCTGTGGGAGCTGTGGGCTCTGTGACCTTGGGCAAGTCATCGTCTCTGGGGAAGCCTGGGCTTCAGGATCCCTAAGTCTCCTTCCCAATCTTGTCACGAACAGCAAATATCCCCTTAGGTTATAGCTCCTGTTTGCAAAGCATGCTACACAGATGCCTTAATTAATTATTCAGGCTGACATCTCCAGCTCCCAAATCAGAAGGTTGAGAAAAGATCATAGGAATATAATCAATGTGAACTTGACCAATAATCGCTGGTCCCAGGATGGTGCAAAGAGAAGAAAACCCTCCAAATTGGTCTTCTCTTACACTTTGGCTGGTTCTGCCAGCGGCCAAGATAAAACCATCCTCTTTAATAATTAATGAGCAGGAGCCAGTGTCCCTGGCCTGGGCCCCACAGGAGGCCCCTAGAGGTGGCTGTGCTTCTGGAAGCGGGCATGTGTGTGCACATCCACCTGTGCCAGCCTGGTCGGGGGTGCACACACACGAGTCACAGCGGCTGACCCAGCAAAGTGCTGCGAGTGTGACCGGAATGAAGGGTTGCTCCGTCTGTCTCTGAGGTGGCGTGGCAGATCAAATCACAGCGGATCAGGCACCGAGATGTTGCCTTGCTCTGAGTGACAGAAGTTAATAATTAGTGACAATGATTGACAGATACACTCCATCTGCTGCTCTGACGCCTAGGAGCAGTTATTCCACAACTGTCTGCGGGCACAATGAACTCCCCCGGGAGCGCAGGCTGGCCTGTGATTGACAGCTGCCTCCTAGAGAGACAGACCACTGATGGGAAAGTTGCTGTCAGCAGAAGCACTCCGGTCCTCCCGTGTTCCTGAGGAAGCTCACTTGCTGTATACATTTATTCTGTTTCATTTATCATGTCAGCCGTGGTTTTAAATAGATTACTAGCTAGCCCGTTTTTAAACTGGAGAGTTTTCTACCTGTAAATTAGAAATATCCACGTATGTCGCAGTCTACTTCCTGGGACTCAAGTCTTCCTGTTTGTTCTCGGGGTAAATCCAGGAGAGGAAGGTAGGAGCTCGCCTGGGTTGCAGACACAACTGATCTTTCCATTAAAATCAAAATGGAATCTTTAACTGAAACCTTGCAAAATGGTACTGAGCATTAGTTGGCAAACTTGGTCTCAAAAGTCCAAACTAAACTATGAAAGCTATTTTTCCCCCCTAAGAAATAAAGATGTTGCTGAGCTTATCTTTAGATGATGTAACTTGTAATAGTTGTTCTTTCAGTGATGTTTTTGCATTTTTAGACAATGAGAATGCCTTGACAGTTTGGAATCTAGCTTTCTCAGGATAAGCTGTTGATTATTTCGTGGTTGCATGGTCAAAATCTGGTATTAACTAGCTGAGTGATCTTAAGAGTGGATTACAGTTCCACTGATACCAAAGTGCTTGTCCCCGTTTCTCCTCCCTTTATTTTTGTGCTAAATTAAAGCTTAGCTTTAAACCAGCCCACATGTAACTGGGGGACTCGGACTTCTTTTAGTTCCTTTATAAATAGGAAAGTAGACATATACAGTATGTATTTCCACTAGACGAACTATCATCACCTAATTGTTCCTGCTTATAGTTTGTTTGGTTTTCTGGAAAAAATGCAATTTAATTTCACTTCATCTAGGCTCCCACAGATGTGCTTTTGGGTCATAACTTCTCTCTCTGTCTGTCCCCCTGTAGTCTCAGCATAATGTAAAGGACTGCCCATCGCGTTATGAGTAAAAGCCTACTTATATCCCGCTATTTAAAATACAGTGAACCCTGTTGATATTGATCTCATATGGGATGTTTTCCCGCATATGATGTCCAGCTCTTAAAGTATGGGTCATGTTTCCTCTTAAGATGTTTTCTTATCTTATTCCCCTAAAATGATATAAACAGTTTCAGTATTCTTGATAATTAGGTATGCGGGTAAAGAAAAGACATCCTGTTCTTTTTCAAGTTTTTAAATGATCAGGATACCAGAAAATGAAGTCATAGTGAGTACAAATGTTGCCTCTCATCCAGGGATCTGCTTTCCTTCTTGATTCTATAAAAAGGAAATTTATCAGGATACAAGATGTTAGAGGCGCCTTAGCCCCTGCCTTGACTGAGTGGGCCACCCTCAGAGCTGCCCTGGAACAACCCACTTGTCTGGCCTCAAGTTAAATGTACACCTCTGTGTCTTGCAATAAACAAGAGTGCAGGAGATATGTGTGCCAAATGTCTGGCTGATGTCTCTCATCTGTCTTCTAGAGAGACTTGGAAGAAGTCACGTGGAATTTATTAAAAGTCACGTGTTCATTTATTTGTTTTGGATCCACTAGTGGTTGGAGGGTCACTGCTTTTCATGTTCCTACCTGCCCCAAGTAGCACCTGCCCTAGCCAGGCTGCAGAGTTTAAACAGCCAGCCTGCCCCATGCCAGTCCCCGGGCTGTAGTAGGTAGCTGAGAGGAAGCCTCAGTAGCTGCCTATCCACTGAGGGATCGAGCCAGCGAACAGGGGTTACACAGTTTTATGAACAGAGCATTATGGGGGAAAAGCAACGGAGCCTCCAGTAGTTGCACCTGGGGCTCAGAGGCTCAGAAAGTGGGTACTGGGCTGCAGGGAAGAACCACAAGAACGGCAGGTGGGAAGGATCTGAGTGAGGCTCAGGTTGGTTTCCCGGTGGGCTAAAGAATGCAGTGGAAATCACATCGCTGAGGCTTTACCTCCATGTTGAGGGCTCTGCACTGAAGACCTGCACTTTAGGAGGATCCCCATTTGTGTGTGGAGAACGGTTTGGCGTGGGCATGAGACAGGAGGCAGGGTGTGGTTAGGAGGCTGCTGCAAGAACCAAGCGGCTTGCACTAAGAGAGAGATGGGCATGGGAGAGGTGTGGGCATCAGAGATGGAAACAGAGGAAGGACTCTAACCTGAATGACAGGGCAGATGGCAGGCTGCTTCTCTCATGAGGAATTTGTGGGGCAGCATGGGGGTTAGGAGGAAGCTGATCAAATTTTGGACATGTTGAGTCAGAAATGTCTACAGTTAGGGCCAGCCTCGTGGGCAGGTGACCTGGGTATTTGCCTGCCCACAGAGGGCTCTGCACTGTCTGAAGGCTCTGTTGTTGCCATCTTCAATTTTTTTCTTTTTTCAGTGCTGAGGATAGAACTCAGGACCTCTTCATGCTAGGCAAATGCTCTACCACTAGCCACATGCCCAGTCTCTTGAAATTTTTAATACATTTGGAATCAGGGTTCTCTGTTTTTATTTCACACTGGCTCTGTGCATGGTTCAGTAAGTGGGAAAGTCGGTTAATAGCTAGATTTCTGGTTCTAGAAATCAGGGTTGGGGAAGGAGGATGTTCAGCACAAGAAGAGGTCCTTTTAATACCAAGAAAGAACAGGCTCCTTAAGGAAAAAAGAGGAATACAAAGAAAGTCAGGAACAGAGTCCTGCTGAGTGTGGGGCACATGACTGTTACTAGGGAGGCTGAGACAGGAGGACCATAAAACCAAACTAAACCAAACCAAACCAAAAGCAAAAAACCCCAGGACTCTAAGATACCTGGAATTTTAGTGACAACCTCTAAGAGGGTGGAACTTCCAAATGCAAGACTTCATCACCTGTTGTCACATTTTGCCTTTCAAGAACAAGCACCGGAAGCATTATTTTAGGTCTGACTGGTTCTGTTCAAATTACTACTTAAATGGCAAAAGCAATCACCAATTATAAGAAAAACCCTATGAGAAACTAAAAGTTGTTATTATGGACACTTGCAATATTCTTTAAATTTCAAAGCATCTTTATCCAGTCAACAGATATTTAGTGAACACCTACTATGTGCCAGAAATAAATTGATGCTAGAGATAAATTAAGGAGCAAAAGAGATAAAAATGCCTATCTTCATGGAGCTTACATTCCAGTGATGGCAGTTGGGCAGGAAACAATAAACAAATAAATAAATAAATCACATAATTGAAAGCAATCTTATTTTGTTTGCTAAGGAGAAAAGGCATGTAACCTCCTCTTATGTAACAGGAGGTATCAGGGGTTGGTACTGGGGCTCCATTATCCTCTGGGCTGGCTTCTTTATCTATTCTCTGTGCTATTCTTCAGCAGACCCCAACCTCCCGGAGCCCAGAGACCCTGAGCAAACCCCTAGAAGCAGTCCAGCAGCAGGGAGCAAGCTGTGCTCCCAGCTTGCTGGTCAAAGCCCCAAGAAACCACTGACTTGGATCTTAGCCCTCCTCTGGACGAGTCCTTTCCCTTGTTTCATAGGAGAGGAAGACGGAGGCCAGGAGACATGTGTGACCTCCCAGGGCTGCACTGCACGCCAGCATAGTGCTGACATCAAAGCTAGGTCCAGGCTCTCTGTGCCTAAAGCTGTGTTGTGTCTACCAGAAGCAGGGTATAAATAAATTCAGAGATATCGTGCTCCCCCAAGCCTATACCAAGGCTTAGAGACATCGAAATTGATCCATGAACTAACTGGGGGCATAGTTAGGCAACCAGATGAATGTGTAGACAACAGTTGCGTAAGAGTTCAATCCAATCCTAAAATGATAGGGATTTGGACATTTAAAGGCCCTGCTGTTGGGTGTTTGCATTTGCCAGGCAAAAAAACTGACCTGAAGAGGAGAAAGGAAGGAACTGGCATAGTCACGAGGACGGAGGGAGGCCAGGCTGCTGTCACTGTGGGCCAGCAGAAGTGATTAAGGTAGGTGATAAAGCTCAGTGGCACAGCACTTGGTTGGCATGCCCAAGGTCCTGAGTTCGATTCACAAAACAAAAACAAACAAATAAAACAAAATGAACAAACAAACAAAAATAATGGCTGGCGCAAGCGCCTCTGACATGTCTGAGATATTTATAGCCACCAGGACTGGCTACCAGTTGCCTGAAGACCGAGTTCCTGGATGAATATTTGCAGCCTCTTAACAAACTCATCATTTGCTATTTTAATGCCCCAGTAGTGTCTCTTGCTTATGGTGGTCCTCTTCCTCTCCGTCCAGCTCCTGGTCTCTTTCCCACATGGTCTCTCATATTACATTTTTGGTGAATATCTCCTTCTTAATGAGTGATACACACTGCTTTAAGAGCTTGTCTTAGTTACTTTTTACTTGTCGCTGAGACAAAATACCTGGCGCCCAAAGTTGGGAAAGGAAAGGTTTATTTCTTACAGTTTTTGGAGGTTTCACACACTCAGTTGGCTCCAGGGCATGGCTGGGCCCCAGTTCATGGCGGCTGCAAACAGCAAGCAGGAACCAGCAAAGAGCAAGACACATCTTCTTTCTGCCATTGCATTACATCCTGGCTCCACCCCTGTGTGGGTGTAGCACTGATACCGTCAATCAATGAACCATCACAAATGCACAATGCAAACTCATGAGGCCTGGGGGCCACAGACATAAACCATGACAGAGTTTTATTTGCATTGTCACATTTAAGCCCATGTAGGTGTTATTTCTAATCCCCAGTTTACAAAGGAGACAGCTGGGCCTTATGAAGGTGCAGTGACTTGCCCTGGGTTTGGGGTAGTGAGTGTTCGAGAACTCAGGTTTATATCCAAGTCCAGCAGATTTTGCAGCCCAAGTTTTGAACCATTGGAAGAACACAAATGCTCTTTTTCAATCGAAAAGAACCATAAAAATTAGGAATGAGTACAAAGAACCACTTGTCACTTTCCCAGCACTCATGGTGTTAAATTTTTTTTAATTTAAATTTTTACTGGTCCATGTTTGCAGTCCTGATGATAATGAGCCCATTCGCCATGGGGAGTTGGTGCGTGGACAGAACACATCTTAATTCTGTTTTCATCCTCTCCCTCTCCTTTTAGCTCTTTGTGTCTTTCCCTTTCGTCAGAGAATCTATCTCTCCATTTCCCATGATCTATCTTTTATTTTGCTCTTTGCTTTATTTAGTCTTTGGGTTTCTCATAGGAAGAAACTATGCGATCTTTAAAACTTGTGTGTTTCTGATTTATTTCACTTAACATTATGGCCTTAAGTTCGTCCATTTTCCTTCAGGTTTATTCTTCTTCTTGGCGCAGTGGTTGTGTATAAACACCGCATTTTTTTTACCCATTCATCTGTGGATGGGCGTATAGGTAATTGTGCTTTTTTTTTCTTTTCAAGGTACAGTCAGTTCTTTCTGGGAATAGGAATGATCAGCTAAGTAACAATGTGTACCTAATATGATAAAGGCATTGAGTCTAGGAAGTTTGGCTGGATCAAAGGGACTTTGAGCCTGAATGAAGCAGAAACTTATATGGTCTGGCAGAATCCCCCCCATTGGTCATGTGCCAATTTGGAGGGGATTTAAGCATCTCTGTTAAGTGCATGGTATGTGGCGTTTTTTCCAGGTTTGGTTGTTGTCAAAAGTGCCAAGTAGTAGATCAAAATAGCACCACCATTGTCACTGACCAAGTGGTCCTGCACCAGAGCTTTGTGAATTCCTTCCTTTGAGCCTCAGAAGAGCTGGGAGAACAGGAGTAGGCAGGTGCTGGAAAGTGGGCTCAGCTAAGACCCCAATTCACATGCGGGGAGCTGTGCTCAGCGGGTTGGGGTCAAATGACTGAGTGTGGGAGACATCTTCTAAGGGCAGAGCTAGAGTCTGGGCTCAGCCCTGTGGGGTCTAAAGGCTGCCTTCTGGGCCACCCTGCCGAGAGACTGACCGCTGCAAAGCTCAGAGGCACTTCTGAGATCACTGAGACTCGCTGAGGCCACAGTGGGCTGGAGACCCCTGGACTGGACCCACTGGCAGATCTAGGACAAGTATCTGCATGTCCTGGCTTCTAGCCTGACAAGTTTTCTAACACACTATAGAGCAACAGAGCAACTCATTCTGTGGTGATACCTACACTGTCCTAGAAGGGAAATAGATGCAAGTTTTATTCCTCTAACATTTCCTGGGCTCGATATGCAATTAGCCTTTATTACTTGGAGAGCTTGGCTTGAGCCCTGCATTTTGAGCTGCTATTGGTGACCTCATCTTGGTCTTCATTAGCTCAGCCACATCGGGGAAGCAGTGTGTACTCAGCCATTGAGCCGTCCACCCTCAGTCTTACCCTGCTGTTCCCGGCAGTGAGATGCTCTGGGACTCCAGAGATCCGGTGGCAAGCAGATTGCCTCTTCTGTGTGGTTTGTCACTGCCTATATGCACCCTGGTTGCTGGAGCCAGTATTTACCT